CTAAACTGGCATTGATTTCTTTAGAATAAATAGAGCGACAATAAAAACTCAGTGGATAGAATTGTGCTGTTACTATAACATGGCTACGGCCACGTATAAGATTTGAAATCTTCAAATCAACCATGATGTGCGTAAGAGAATCAAGGGCGCCTTTAGAAAAAGAAAAGACACTAGTGGCAATTTTAAATTAAATACTTTTATCGCCGATATTAATTAATTATAATATAATTACTATAATATGAAAATGAGACTAGCTAATCTTTTTAAGAATAGAACGTTTTTATTTATATTGTTTTAAATATCATCAGAGAAACAACGTTTTAAAGAAGCAGTATCTAAGCTGAAAATAATAGAAATATGTATATCCTAAATGACCTCCGGAGAATAAGACTCTATCCATACACAAAATATGCACATTAACAAACGTCTGCACTATGTAATGCAATTGGCCTAACTAGGGGAAGGACAATTGCAAGAATATAAATCTATTGGCAATTTTTTTGTAAACACGCCTATACTACTCAGTTTAAGACTTGTTAAAATTAATCCTATTCTTATCTCCTTTAAATGGTCCCACGTGATCACACACCATATTCAGCAACTTGTCYCTGGATGCTGAGCGGAACAAGCGCATCGGCAATGCCGCTACAACACTGGCTCGCCTCAGAAAGCGTGTATTGAACAATTCAATGATGACTATTAACACCAAAATAGCTGTATACSAGGCTTGCGTACTCAGCAAGCTCCTATATGGAAGCGAAACCTGGAGCCTGTACTTCCGCCGAGAACAACGACTTAACACCTTCTACTTGCGCTGCCTCAGAAGAATCCTGGGCAAGACCGTTTCCTCATGACAAGGATGTTCTGTTGCAAGCAGGATGGAATGTCCAGAATGTTTGCCTTACTAAGCCAGAGACAACTCCGTTGCCTCGCTGTCATGTAAACCGTATGGACAATGTAGGATTACCAAAAAAAGTACTGTACGGAGAGCTTGCCACTGGCTCCAGACCTTTCCTCTTCTGGCTGGTCTGAATGCCTGTCTTGACAGCTTGTCTCCAATGCGGTCTTCAGCCACCTTTTCGCTAGCTACTCACAAAAAATGCTCGTATAGATTAAAATTTTTACATTTATATTTGCTYAATTTAGTTGGACTTCGCGTTGGTCAACTACAAACCAATATTTAAAAAAACAGAGACACTGGCAGAACAATACCAGAAACATACAAACCATTATTTAAGTTCATTTAAGTTTTTTGTTACACATATATCTAATTGCTTCACTGTCATAGTCTGTCATTTCTTTTCTTTTCACTCCATTTCATTTCATTCCATTTCATTTTACATTTATCGCGCTGTATTGCTATGTTTCCTCGCGCGCTTTCCGGTTTTTGCGTTGTTTAAAATCTTACGTGTACTCTACCTTGATAATGGCCGCTTAGGTCGAAAGCTCGGTATTAAAAATATCACTAGTAAACGCAGAGGATTCATTTATTTTTTAGTAATTATGCCTGCGGACAAAGAAATTCTAAATATTCAAATTGTTATCTCAAATTGTTGTGTCCCTCTGCATGCAAAAAAATCGCAATTTTTAAAAGCTTAGTAAATTGGATGTTAGTATTTTATGTTTAAATTATGAAAAAATACGGTAACTGAAGATCACACTTTTATAATGCCTATCACATAATTGGATTTCTATCAGTAGACATTTTATACATAAGATATTTGTCCCATGTCCGAAGACGTCCTACTTAACAAAACACTTTACAAAGATAATGAGATTGACTATTAGCATAAGAATAGATGCTGCGGCGTTGCTTTCAAAGAAAAATAACGGTGTGAAAGCTCTCCCTCATTGCAATCTGTTTTATTTATTATCATACTTTGGTTTTATCACGTATCACATAAATTCCCATGTTTTAATGCAATTTTTTCGCTTTTACAACTAGTAACATGAAGGCCAAACTTGCAAGAAATTACTCGGGAGGTTTGTTAGTTGCGACCAAATAGATTCGAATGGACCGGAAGCGCGAACATTTCCACAGAGGCGGTAATGTCGGGGCATCCTGTATCCTGTAGTTCTGGGGGGATATCAGTTAACAGCTAGATTTTGGCAAGTTTCTCAGTTATCAGTTAATTTTCTCGGTTCTCAGTTAAGCTACATGTTAAATATTAATTTTGTGTTTAACAACTAAATATTCAGAAAAGCATTTTTTACCTCAAATTCACATTTGTCATCATCTGGCGGGTCTTTGATCAAAGGACAACCTTAAAGCATCAACAGTTATATTGATGTGTGGCATAAAGTTGAAGAAAAGAACAAGCTGCTTACGCTTTGATGATAAATCGGCGTGCGCGCTTTGTAATTTGTATATTACCTGTGGTATTACGTCATGTGTATGTTTATCTTGAGATTGACTTAAAGGGACACTGTCAATGGATGACATGCGCGAGTAAACTTGAAAACACTAGGCTAGTGTTTTCAAGTTTATGACTCCAAGTTGGCGCGACATAAATCAGATTGTAAACGTAAACAGATCTAGAATATTCCAAAGTGTGTCAAAAGCACCACAAAATGATTTACCTCGAAGGTTATACTTTCAAAGTCCGTTAGAGGTGAGACTGTTACTGCGCATGTCATCCATTGACAGTGTCCCTTTAAGAGCGTGTCGGGCTGCGTCTTTCGCAATTCAGCACCCGTGCTGCGACTCAGGACGATTAGCACCCAACACTTTTTGACCCTTTTTCCTTTCCATTTTCCTTTCCTTTTCCTTTTTACCTCGAAGGTTATACTTTCAAAGTCCGTTAGAGGTKAKACTGTTASTGCGCATGTCATCCATTGACAGTGTCCCTTTAAGAGCGTGTCGGGCTGCGTCTTTCGCAATTCAGCACCCGTGCTGCGACTCAGGACGATTAGCACCCAACACTTTTTGACCCTTTTTCCTTTCCATTTTCCTTTCCTTTTCCTTTCCTTTTCCTTTATCATTTGAAATCGTCTGAAACTTGCAGATATAATAGCAAAAACACTTCTCAACAATCGGCCATTTTGTTTAATTTGTTTCCATATATGGAATGGATTCGCTAAAGGAAGCCCAAAATTAAAAAGAACAGGGAACCCGCACTAACGACATACAATTCTTTGATATGATACAGCAAGACATGTTTTTACGAATACTTAGACAGCCTGGCACTATAGGAAACATGAAATGGGATAACTTCCTTCTAACCACTATTACTTTCCATTATTTTCATTTTAAGCTATATAAGCTTTATTAGAAAAATAAAAAAAAAGTAAAGAAAGGACCTTCTTGCCTGCCAATAAACCTACGCCTTCCCTCAATAAATATTGATAACTCCGTTACATGAACTTAAGCCAGGGCAATATTTGCTTCAAAACTTCTTTTCCTKGCATATCTTGTGCAGCGACGCCATTTTGTGCGATAAAGCATTATGATGTTTACCCTAAATCACGCAGTTTGCAAAAGGATATTAAATTTATTTATTGTCTATGACGCAATACAATTATTTCTGATTCTCTGTTATATGAACTAAATAATGAAATGTCGAATTCTTTCCTTTCCGAATTGCGTCTTTTTTTTACATATGAAGGTTCCAACTAACAATGTGCTAATGGTGACTTCAAGGAAACCTTCATTAGCATAATAACTCATAATAAAATGCGGTCATAAATGCAATCTGGTAATGTGTGCAGTCCCTCCATTACCTACGATAGATTAAATGTCATTGCGCCATCTTTGAATGACTGATTCAAAGTTCATATATTTAATGTAGTGTTCCTAGCATCATGACAGCGGGCGAAATTTGCCATTCTTTTAACTATTTCGCTACTCACCAAATTGCTCATACGGTTACAAGTTTTACATATATATTGGATCAATCATTTGGACTATTGATTTAATGGGATTGGAATTGATTTAATGGGAAGTCGCGTTGGTCAACCTCTAGCCAAAGATTGTTATGTCCCTCTGCATGCAAAAAAATCGAATTTTTTAAAAGATTTGTAAATTGGATGTTAGTATTTTATGCTTATAAGTATRAAAATACGGCGACTGAAGGTTGCGCTTTTATAATAMATCACATTGGATTTCCATCGGTACCATTTTCTCAGTCGAGGAACTCTTTATAAGTATTCAAAAGCATAGCAAAGTGAAATAATTTAAAAAGTGGTAACATTCACTCACTTCATAAGTAGGAGTAACTTTTGAACCGTCTAAAAACGTCTTAGTCTCGCAAATCTTTCATAAAAAAGTTAGAGCAGTCAAAACGTCGTATCAAATATATTTCATAATAGTCTTAGTTTGTTTGCRCGTATTCACGAAGCTGAAGGGTTGATTCGGTTAATTAGATGGCAATATAACTTTGTATCGCCTGCTGTTTATTCAGCGAACAGTTGTTGCTGACACCTTGCAAAATATATACATATATATTAACGGAAAGCAATTTGAGCACTCATTGCATCAAGCAAAACACGAATACGCTCAGCTCTCCGTGGATCATGAATGACTCCAGTGAGGCACAAAAAATCTGTATTGAAGATGAGAGCATTTTTAAAGCTGCTAAATTCACATGTGTATCTCTTTTTGGTGGACTTGGCATTGTAGGSAACATTTTCATCATCATACTCGCTGCAATGTACACAAAGAGAAAAACACTTCATTGCTTGATCATCAACATGTCTGTGTCCGACATCCTCTTCGTTGTCATGTTCATTTTGAGAGATCTTGGAATTTCTCTGCTAAGTAGCCAATCTCAAACAATCGCAAATTATTTTTGCAAACTGACCTTTTTTTTGGAATCAACATTGGAGTTGCTTTCCTTAATAACACTACTTTTTATGAGCATTGAACGTTATCGAGCCACCAAAGTAATGATAAGCACAAAACCTTACTCCAAACTGAAAGTGATATGTATCGCCTGGCTGGTGTCAATGGTGCTTTCCAGTTTTCACCTTGTGTTGACAAACGCAAATAAGACAGCCGATCCCAGCAGGTCTTTCACATGTTTACCTCCTGAAGTTTCAAAAATTCAAAATGGTTTGTATTTGTTAAAATCATGGTGCTTAGTTTTTTTGTACCTATTCGTGTTTATCGTGTGTCTGTTATGAGACAACATTTCCATATTTCTATTTTTAGAGTTATGCCTAGTAAATTCCTGTATGTTCTAGAATGTTCTAGTAAGCTAGTCATCTGGTTATCGTTTATTTCTACCTGTGCCTTGCATTAGTTAAACAAACACTTCTTTTTGACATAATCATGATTAGACTAAGATAAAATATCTATTTCATATAAATACGTCTTTGTTAGCTGTTTCAAAGTTCGCATAAGATTYTAAGACATCTTCTTYCAAATAACTTARGCTAGTATCTTATAGGTTTTCCACATTAGTTTGTTTGGATTATATATGAACTTAGCTATGTTCAAACACTAGTTGCGACTTGTGACTATCTTAGGTTTCACTTGCTAGATATTTCATTAATGTCCGACTTTCATTAAGCTTTCTGATAAGAACATAAATTGACAACATAATGAGATTACAAGGYACTTGTTTATTTCTATARTAMATATAATCTGGATTTCCCAGCTAATTTTGTAGGATGCTCTCACGCAACTTACATCGTTGTAAAGTTACCGCTAAATTCAACTAAACCCCTCCTACGGAAGTGTACACCTCGAGCGACGCCCTGTCGCCCATCGGTCGTTTAAAACCTTGTAACTTCATTATATTGAGTATTCATTCAATATAACTTTGTATAAAGTTAGTCCTTTATAAGAGCTACYTTCAGTCTTAATTTTATATCTGAATTCAACCTAAAACTACCTTGGGGCATAGCATTTTCACATTCTACCCAAGTTAAACATATTATTAGTTATCCATCAAAAGTACGTCTTAGCCAATCATATTTCAATATAGWTTGCCAATAACTGTCAGTATGCACTTGTAAAAATATGCACTATAAAAGGTAGATTGTAATTGTATAGCTCAGAGTTGAAGCTACAAGCTAGAGTGTAAGGAAACTGTGTTGGTGTTTCTTCCAATAAACAAGTTTGATCCAAGTACCTGCTTTATCGAGTACATCCTACAGCTTACAAGCCTACAAAACGCCTTGTAACA